ACTGCCTATTGGAACTGCCCCCCCCGCCCCCCCTAGAATCTGAAAGGCCCCCCCCCCCCCAAACCGGGACAAAATTTCTGAAAGAAACACAGAGAGGCATAGATATTGAAAGACAAAAGAAGAAGATCAAGAAAGAGAGAGAGAGAGAGACCAATGGTCAATGCGGCATAGAGTCAGACGAAGTAGACTGAGTAAAAGAAAGTCAGAGAATTAGAGGGAAGCACATACAAAGACAGAGAGAGAGAGAGAGACCAATGGTCAATGCGGCATAGAGTCAGACGAAGTAGACTGAGTAAGAGAAAGTCAGAGAATTAGAGGGAAGCACATACAAAGACAGAGAGAGAGAGAGAGACCAATGGTCAATGCGGCATAGAGTCAGACGAAGTAGACTGAGTAAGAGAAAGTCAGAGAATTAGAGGGAAGCACATACAAAGACAGAGAGAGAGAGAGAGACCAATGGTCAATGCGGCATAGAGTCAGACGAAGTAGACTGAGTAAGAGAAAGTCAGAGAATTAGAGGGAAGCACATACAAAGACAGAGAGAGAGAGAGAGACCAATGGTCAATGCGGCATAGAGTCAGACGAAGTAGACTGAGTAAGAGAAAGTCAGAGAATTAGAGGGAAGCACATACAAAGACAGAGAGAGAGAGAGAGACCAATGGTCAATGCGGCATAGAGTCAGACGAAGTAGACTGAGTAAGAGAAAGTCAGAGAATTAGAGGGAAGCACATACACAGACAGAGAGAGAGAGAGAGACCAATGGTCAATGCGGTATAGAGTCAGACGAAGTAGACTGAGTAAGAGAAAGTCAGAGAATTAGAGGGAAGCACATACAAAGACAGAGAGAGAGAGAGAGACCAATGGTCAATGCGGCATAGAGTCAGACGAAGTAGACTGAGTAAGAGAAAGTCAGAGAATTAGAGGGAAGCACATACACAGACAGAGAGAGAGAGAGAGACCAATGGTCAATGCGGCATAGAGTCAGACGAAGTAGACTGAGTAAGAGAAAGTCAGAGAATTAGAGGGAAGCACATACACAGACAGAGAGAGAGAGAGAGAGAGAGAGAGAGAGAGAGAGACAGAGGGGAAGAGAAAGGCAGCAGGAGATAGACCGAGACAGAGAGATGATTTGGTTTGGGGGTTGCGTAATAAAGTCTGAAGGACAAGTGATTTTTCTGACGTGCACTGAGTTTAAAATATGAGGTAGAAGTCTTTTATCTTTTAACTAGCATTTATCTCAAATGACCTTTTTTTTTTATACGAGTTTAAGATTTAAAAATTCTAATTGGTAAGCCTGAGATTCCTATTTATTATCATTTTTACAAAGTGAACAGAATTAATTAAAAATTTATTATTTTTTAAACCTGAAAGAAAACTATTGATTTCATGGTAAGGATAATGAAAATTGTGGTGGTAAAAAAACAATTACAATTAGTGTAAGAAAGTTATATTTAAAAAAAAAAAAATGAAGTCTATTAAAATGTAGCCATTGTTCTCAATGGTATTAATATTTTTCTACGAAGTCAACATACGTGCAAGTTTTTATAATGTATCTTTTAAAATATTGATAACATCAATTTATTGACTGTGATGAAGTTGACGTCATCACATAAAGTGTGATCTGGCCAGTGTCGGGTTTAACAGGTGTGAGGTTCAAGTAGCCGGGAACTGTGGCCACTGATTGGTCTGTCTGGGACAGTGTGACATGATGTTGCCTGAGATCTGTGTGTCAGCGTTTTATCCTTTGGCTGATTAAATATTAAGCTATTTCGTGTCGTAGCTGTCCATGGAGTGCATTTAATTTATGATTGCGTCTATGTTGTTTTTGACAAGTGACTGGTCAAGGCCACATGTGGGTTCTGTCTGTAAAATATTGACTAGGTGACTGGTCAAGGCCACATGGGGGTCTATCTGTAAATTATTGACTAGGTGACTGGTCAAGGCCACATGTGGTTCTGTGTGTAAACTATTGACTAGTTTACTGGTCAAGACCAAATGGAGGGTTTCTCTGTAAACTATTGACTAATTGACTGGTCAAGACCACATGGGGGTCTGTCTGTAAACTATTGACTAGTTGACTGGTCAAGGCCACATGGGGGTCTGTCTGTAAACTATTGACTAATTGACTGGTCAAGGCTACATGGGGGTCTGTGTGTAAACTATTGACTAGGTGACTGGTCAAGGCCACATGGGGGTCTGTCTGTAAACTATTGACTAGTTGACTGGGCAAGGCCACATGGGGGGGGGGGTTTGTCTGCAAAATATTTACTAGGTGACTGGTCAAGGCCNTAAACTATTGACTAATTGACTGGTCAAGGCTACATGGGGGTCTGTGTGTAAACTATTGACTAGGTGACTGGTCAAGGCCACATGGGGGTCTGTCTGTAAACTATTGACTAGTTGACTGGGCAAGGCCACATGGGGGGGGGGGGTTTGTCTGTAAAATATTGACTAGGTGACTGGTCAAGGCCACATGGGGGTCTGTGTATAAGCTATTGACTATGTGACTGGTCAAGGCCACATGGGGATCTGTCTGTAACATGAAAGTGTCCTTAAAATAATTTTTCTTTAAATTTGTGAGTGACGTATACCTCTTTTTTGTCTTTCTTTTTCTCTCTCTTTCTCTTTCCCTCTTTCTGGCTCCCCCTGTTTGTTTCTCTGTCTCTTTGTCTATCTTTCTATCTCTTTCTCTATCCGCCTCTTTCTCTCTCTATGTCTCTCCTTTTCACTGTATCTGTCTCTCTATTTTTCACCCTCTCTCTCTCTGACTTTCTCTCTGTGTCTCTCTCTGTCTCTATCTCCTCTCACTCCTTCTGCCTCCACTCTTTCTCTCTTTTTTATCTCTCCCTCTAGGTTAAAAGAAATTATTCTCTTTGTCTCCTCCCTTCCCCTCAATCGGTATTAAATCATGTTATATGGTTGGTTTTGTTGGCAGTTACATTGCATAACATTACACTACTTTACATTACATCTACAGATATGTAAACGATATCACGAAATCCCAACAATCGTCATAACATAATTTATTTCAAATTTACCTTTGGGAACCAAATAAATCTTCAAATCATACTTTTTTTGTAAATTATAATGTAATACACCTGGTCTTGTTATCGATTTTGTAGCGATGCCCAATAGATTACTCTTCATATCCTGCTCTACAATGGAGATCAAGGACTCCAGAGTAAAGTTATAACATTTTAAAATATTATATCAAGTCGTACATTCAATTGAATTTTAAAAGGTATGCACATTTTAAAATATAAAAACAAGTTATGAATGTCATTCATCAATAAAATAAAACAATTACAACCCAAAATATATGTTACAAGTTTTGCCCTACATTACTTTCAATAATATGTTGTTTTAATTTTGTTTAATTCAAACAGGCAATTTTTTCTATGTACATATACACATCATAATTCCACAGGACATTAACACGAAATAGTACCAGTGACAGAGAGCCCCCGTACACACGCGAATCTCACATCAAGCGTGAGTGATGCCCCTTTAAGTGGCGGCTGTTATACGTCTGGGTCAAAGGGACGTCATTGACGATCTGAACAAGATTTCATTATCTAGAGTAAAGTTCCATGTTGTGACCGCGACTGCCAGAGATAACCTGCTACCGAAGTGCGGAGGGGAGAACACAAAAAAAAGGAAGTGTGGGGAGGGGGGGTGGTTAAGATGATCGGTTCTAATCCACTCTGAGGGTATTTGCTCCTAAAGTAGATCAGAGCCGCTACGTCCGGTCACCGCATCAAAGGAGGATGTCGTATGCTGGGTGATTCTCAAGTTATCGGTCTGACGACCAGTCAACAGCCGGTCATTAAAACCGGACCATTTTTTTTAACATCCAAACAAGACAACGCGCAATACATTTGGAAGACGCCCCTGGCGCAGTGTGGATCAAATTTCATGCGGTTCCTTCACGCCCAAACTTTAGAACTAAACCATGGTAAATGTGATAACAGTGGCACGTGGTACAGAAACTTTAGAACTAAACCATGGTAAATGTGATAACAGTGGCACGTGGTACAGAAACTTTATGACCAAACAATGGTAAATGTGATAACAGTGGCACGTGGTACAGAAACTTTATGACCAAACAATGGTAAATGTGATAACAGTGGCACGTGGTACAGAAACTTTATGACCAAACAATGGTAAATGTAATTTCAGAGATATATGGTACTGCTGTAAGTCGTATGGTCCCATTAGTTCATTTATTCAAATCTACATGACGAATTCAGTTGTTGTCAAGATGGACGACGTAAAGAAATGGAATTAATTATCTCGTAGTGGCTTAGTGTTCGTCGTTAGAACATATCATAGTATGGCTTTCAATATAATAAATGTATTAATTGCTTTTAAAAAAGATTCCTACGTTTGAAAATTAAGTACCCAATAGGCACTGAGTACTTAATTTTCATTTAGTCTACTTAGCAGGCCCGCGCCTGGGAGAGGGGGGGGGGGCAACCGTGGCACTTGTCAGGGGCCAGAGCTAGATAGGGGCCAGTCCTTTTTCAAGTTTTAAAATCTATGCACATGTTTGAAAGACGAAAGGGGCCAGAACTCTGTCACCTGCCTGGGGCCAAGAAGTTCATAGGTGCGAGCCTAAATTAAGGTCAATCAGACAGTCGTAACTGTTGAAATAAAAGGCCTTCAGAACTGGACGCCGTGTTAGATCATCGTCCGTCATTAAGTGAATGTATGCTGCTTTTAAAAATAATAAATGTAAAAAGCTTTAGTTTGGCTCCTTAAGTTCTGCTGATTGAAAATGTCTCGCTATTTATTGTTTGACGTAATCAGAACAACAAATTGAACCTAACTGTATGTGACGAGCTCAGTTTTTTTTTAAATAAAAATTATATCTGCACTATAGAATGAAAAGCTTTATAGAAAGATTTTTTTTTTCTAAATGTTCGGATAGTGAACTCAATTCCTTGCAGAGGAACAATATTATATGCAAACTTACTGACATTATATATTGTAACCGAAAAGTCCTATTAGTCTTATTGTTACATCTTTTCACGCCTAAGTGTATCTTGTACTACTATGTATTGGCTTGTTTTATATTGCTATTCAGCTTGCAGTTTGAAAAAAAAAATATGGAGCGATGCTATTGAATTACATCTACTGGCCTTTGGGTTAATAGGTTTACATCTAATGGCCTTCGGGTTAATAGGTTTACATCTAATGGCCTTTGGGTTAATAGGTTTACATCTACTGGGCTTTGGATTGTTAGAATTACATCTACTAAGATTTGAGTTGATAGAATTACATCTACTAAGATTTGAGTTGTTGGAATGACATCTACTGGGCTTTGGGTTGTTAGACTTACATTTACTGGTCTTTGAGTTTTTAGACTTACATCTTCAACGAACAGACGCTGAAATAGCTATACAGATGTTTGCATTGCTATAGTGTATCCCGCAGAAACAAAAGAACAACAGTTACAAAGTAATTTTTTTTTTTAAATCTGCTTAGGTCATGAGAAAATTACAAGAAAAAGCATTCACAATATATTAGTATCATCAGCGATGTAAAGGTGTGCTTGATCTGGATTCAATATCCACAAACATTTCATGATAAAATAACCTAATGTATATGAAATCAAACAAAATTAATCCCAGATTAATTGAAAAATCACATAAAAAAGAATGTCTCATTTCGTAACACGTCGATTACATTAATTGTTTGAAATCGGAAGTCAGTGTGTGTACTAAATCGTTCGACTCTTTGTGCCATAGAAGCGAGACAGCTCACAATGACGTCAGATGCAAACGTCACAAGGCAGAAGCTGGCGGGTAATCTTAGGAATGTCAGAGGCGGTGAGACCAGTCTTTAGAACAACGTAAAAATAAAACACCCAACAATAACAGATAATGTTTGTGATTGAATGCCACTCTCACAATGCGCGTCCCGGCTTTCTGCACACCAGAGCCTTCAGAGAGCGCCTGAACGCAGGGTTCATGAAGGCGTATATGATGGGGTTCACGATGTGGTTACTGAAGTACACGTAGAAGACGATCACGTTGAACCTTATCACCTTGTGGGCGATAAGCCAAGAAGGCAGGTAGGCGATTATGAAGAAGATCGTCACAACAAACAGCATTATAGCCGTCCTTATGTTGGCAAGAAAATACTTGTCCTTCAGGCAGCCGTTGTTGGGGATCGTGATTTTCTGAGACCCGTCTTCTATCTGGAACTGGGGCTGTCTTTGTTCTTTTAAAAGCAGTGATTGTGTGGGAGGCGGGTTGAGCAGTTTTTTCTGCCCGTCCTTATTGCCGTTGGATATGTCCGTCATGGCTATGCTTTTGTCGGGCGAGTCGTTCAGCATACTCTGGTTCTCGGTGAGCGAGAGGTCCATCGTGTGCGTCAGCTTCGACTTGTTCCTGGATGCCAGTCTGCGGCTCCGTCTCACCAGGACAGACCGGTAAATGAGAATGTACAGGACGAAGACGACGAAGAAGCAGACGAGAAAACTAGACGAGTAGATCGTCTGGTAGGTGAACCGGAAGCGCTCGGAGAAGAGAATCTGATTGGGCAGACACTGGCCGGTGTAGATGTAGGACTCGTTGATGGGGCTCGCCTGATTGCACACCTTCACGTAGAGCTTGATCAAGAAGGTCAGGTACTCGTACATGAAGTCCTCGGTGGTATCGGACGTGTTGACGCAGTCCCGACACGTGCCGTCCGCGAACAGCTTGTAAGCGTCGCTGATGTTCTTGAACTCCTTGTTCAGCATGTTTTCCATGGGGTGCGGCCTGACATCCTTCTTCCTCAGCGTATCCACGTCGAGGTACACGCCATGAAACATGGCCGCAACGGCCCCGATGACGATGGCCATGAACAGCAGGACCAGAACACAGTACTTCGCCCGCGTAGAGTCCAGCACATGAGAATGGGGCCGGCATATGCAGATGTATCGGTCGATCGCTATGGCGACCATGATGAACACCGAGAACGGCACCGTGCAGGTGATGATGAAATAGTAGAGCTTGCACGAGAAGTCCAGCGAGATGTGATAGTTGAGGCCCTCCACCACCATGGTGTACGGCATGCCGATGGCCGAGGTCACCAGGTCGATGGCGGCCAAGGCAATGATGAAGACGGTCGACGAGAGCTTGTTGCGCTTCCTGACGTAGACATAGAGGACCAGCGAGTTTCCCAGCAGCCCCAGGACGCTGAAGCACGCCAGCATGATGATGAGCACGTTCACGGGACGCGGAGGGATGCGGTTCCGCAGAATATTTTGCACCTGATCCTCGTCGATTTTGAGGCACGTCTGAGGGTCGTCCATCCTGAGGAAAGAATAAAGTCAATTTGAAATTTGTAAATGATAACAGTTTTCTTCTTCAGTTAAAATAGAACTTTATATGAAATGATAAGGATGTCAAAGAATCATTTTTTTTAAATACTACTCTATATCGTCATTCTTCATAGCTCTCTAAACAATACTAGAATTCAATTGAGCTTAAAAATAGAACATTACTTGGGATTTGAATTTTACCAAAATTGATTATTGTTTATTTTAATTTTTTTCTCCATGTTTATATGCTGTGACAGCATTTTGTTTCATTTTTATGTGTACTATAAAGCAGCTTAGCTGATCAAATACACGCCTGGTTACTGTCGTAATGCAGTTTAGCTAATACACATACGGTTCACTGTCGGAAACAATCATATCTATTTCAGAAAATTTGCATTTAAATTAATTTTTTTATTTTTTTTTTTCACTTTTGCGTGTTTTTAAATGTGACAATTTTTAGATTGTTTTTATTTCTCTTTTTCATATAGTTGACTTTGTGCCGCGCTTCGAGCTTTTGGGGATGAAGCGGGTTTTTCAAATAAACTTTTTTTAAATTATTATTTATGTTCAATGGTTGACCTCAGTTTTTACTAATGACGACAGGTGTTGCATATTGTATTTTTAGTTTCAACAAGTTACAACCAGGGCTAACTAAAGAACATAGGGGGGCCTTGGGCACAGCAATGCACTGGGCCCCCTAGCAACAAAACCCAACAGGGTCGTTAAAGGGGGGGAAGTGGGGCACAGTTGGGAGGGGGGGGCGCAAACAGTTGTTTCTCCCAACCCAACTCACCAAGAGAAATAAAAGAATGAAATAGCGAAACGAGGTATGTGGAAGGTTGAAATAAAATAACAGGAGAAATAACCTGGTCAAATAAGAATAAACATTCAATAAAGTTAAAAATAGATTAATTCAACTTATTTATACCAAAAAAATTTCATTCCAGTGCAATAATGATTTTTAAAAAATTATCAGAAATACATTAAAATTCCTTCCAGATGATAATAAATTATCAGGTTCTCCATTTTATAACTTAGTCTTCCTGCCTCACTTCTCGTTTTTTTCTTTTCCTGATCAGTGTCAGCTGATACAGAGTCAAGAGCTTTTTTGAAACCTTGACGACATCAAAATGTGCCGACCATCTTGTGTCAGAAAGATGCTTTAAGACAATGAGAGATTTTCCTAAGGAAGATACAAGAACATTCCATCGATGTGTGGAAGCCGAGAAAATGGTAAATATACGCTGAACAAAGTTAAAGAATTTTCCAACTTGTAGACAACACCCTGCTGGTTTTAAGCCGACTAAGTTCATACTGTGTCCAGCACAAGGGACACACACGGCAAACTCGTGTTAGCAGTCCAGTGTAGCGTCCATAGATTTTTGCCATACGATGGACCACGGCAAATTGAAGGCGGAATTTTTTTCTCATTCAGGAAATCCAAAACATTGTCTGCTAGATCCTTTGATACACAACAGTGTCAGTTAGATCCTTTGCTCCATGGGAACATATGGAAATTAACTTGATTAAAACGTTCCACAGACTTACATCCTCGAATGTACCGGACCGTTAATGTCAGTTGATCAATGTGTGAAATGTCTGAAGTGGAATCATAACTTATTGAATAATACTTTGACTCTTTAATTTCTTCCAGAACAGCTCAAAGGACATGTTGTCCCATTAGATAGTTTGAGATACTCTTCCAAAAAAAGGTTAAATTCACCCAGCTGCTCTAAAATATCTAAACCATTCCCATTGTTTACTGACCCAATTGTTCGACCCAAACCTCTGGAGGCAAGAAAACGAATGACATAATCCCCACGAGTCAGAACTTAATGTCAGTACTTCTGTTTTGACCTATGGTCTCTGATTAATAAAGCACCTAAACACCTAGCTTCTTTCAGTCGAAGGTAATATGCAGTCATTTCCTTGTGATGTACTACTCCATTTTCATGTTCTACACTTAGATTGTTATGTTTCCAGTACTTTAATCCCTTATACAGCGAAGGGAAATACTTTTTTTCATCATAAGACGACCCGCAAAACAATACAAACAACCTTGGTATGGTGACAAAACAATACAAACAACCTTGGTAAGGTGACAAAACAATACAAACAACCTTGGTATGGTGACAAAACAATACAAACAACCTTGGTATGGTGACAAAACAATACAAACAACCTTGGTATGGTGACAAAACAATACAAACAACCTTGGTATGGTGAAAAAACAATACAAACAACCTTGGTATGGTGACAAAACAATACAAACAACCTTGGTATGGTGACAAAACAATACAAACAACCTTGGTATGGTGACAAAACAATACAAACAACCTTGGTATGGTGACAAACCAATACAAACAACCTTGGTATGGTGAATAGAGAAGCGAGTCAAGTTTTACACAATCGCCATTCCGCAGTTCACGTTGGAACATATTTCTTGATAAATACCTTGTCTCACTTCTCTCTTCTCCAGCTCTGACTGAGTTTGAAAAGTTGCAGTCCTGATTCTTACACAATGATGGCCCACCGCGAATTCAGTACTCAAATATACACGTGTTCTTAATATTCCAAAGCCCGAGATCTGTGTGGTGAATCACACACTCTCGTTTTCTGACACAGCTTTGTGTGTTTCAATTTTTACAATGTCCCCAGTAGAGGAAATAGCTAATGGTATTGTCTGGAACTAGATGGCTGCATCCAATAGAGGATGTAGATGAGGCTTTTTTTATTTTGACGAGCAGTATTAGTCACTGATATTTCGATTGGATTTAACCACGTGTTAATTTTGCAAATTAACCCTTTTTCCTCGTCTCCTCAGCTCTTTTTCTCTTCTGTGCTCCTATTATAAAAAATTTGTTTCGTTGGTTACTAGTATTTCTATAGTAATAGCAGCAATCCGTTTAAAAGATACAGGTCATTATTTTAAAAAAAAATGGATTCGTCTGTCCCTTCAGACTGACACGTAACCGGCTAAAAACGAACATGGGGAAATGATCAATAGAAATGGTGCCAGTAATAAAATCGATCTCTGTGTATGAGCTACCCGGTATGTAAGACGGAAATGATTTTGAACTTTAAACATTTAGCACAAATTATGTCTAAATGCCTAAATATCTCTGCCTACTGTTCAGAAATACGGTGACTGTTGTGTTCTATTTATCATCCAAATGTGTTTTTCAGACACAGAATACAAAATATTTTTCTGTTCAAAAATATAAAGTTATTTGGATTTTGTTTTTTAAAAAATAAAGTTCCCGGTATTATGCTAATTAAATTCAGTATTACTTTAACTGGTGCTAGGATATATTTTTATCCACTAATTTCACTATGGAGCCGAGGCGTATCTAGGGTTATTACCACCCGGGGCCAACATCTTTGACTAACTTGATTGTAAACAAATGCTCTAACTTTAGGATTTTTCAATTCATATCTGGGAGAAGTAAAACTTGTTGACGAGAGTTATTCCGCTTTAAAAGTTAAAAAGTTTCCAACTTGTGATTCGCATTTATAATATTATTTAAGAACGTGCCGATAAAATGGGGGCTTAAAATTGGGAAACGTACTGTACCATGATTTTTAAATAAAATTTAATTGCCAAAACTTTTCAATATTCATTAACAATATTTGCAACATGAAGCCTTTATAAGAGTGAGTCTCCTAAAAGCAAGCGTCCCCTAGAAGCGTGGAGCCCTGGGCAACTCTCCACTGTGCCCATGCCTTAAGACGGCACTGGTTACAACACGACCAGTTTAGGGCAGGATACACAATCAACTTAGGGCCAGGAGAACAACCAGATTAGGGTCGAAAACATAACCCGATTCGGCCCAGAAGCACAACCAGCTTAGGGCCAAAAACACAAACAGATTAGGGCAGGAAGCACAACAAGCTTAGGGCCGGAAACACAGCCAGATTACGTCCAGAAGCACATCCAGCTTAGGGCCGAAAACACGACCAGATTAGGGCCAGAAGCACAAAAAGCTTAGGGCCAGAAACACAGCCATATTTGGGCCTGAAGCACAACCAGCTTAGGGCTGAAAACACGACCAGATTAGGGCCAGAAGCACAGCCAGCTTAGGGCCGAAAACACAACCAGATTAGGGCCAGAAGCACAACGAGCTTAGGGCCAGAAGCACAACATGCTTAGGGCCAGAAGCACAATCAGCTGAGGGCCAGAAGCACAATCAGCGATGGCTAGAAGCAAAATGGCTTAGGGGCAGAAGCACAACAACCTTAGGGCCGAAAACACAACCAGATTAGGGCAAGAAGCACAGCCAGCTTAGGGCCGAAAACACAACCAGATTAGGGCCAGAAGCACAACGAGCTTAGGGCGAGAAGCACAACAAGCTTAGGGCAGAAGCACAATCAGCTGAGGGCCAGAAGCACAATCTGCCTCTGGCCAGAAGCAAAACCGGCTTAGGGGCAGAAACACAAATACCTTAGGGCCGGAAGCACAACATGCTTAGGGCCAGAAGCACAATCACCTTAGAGCCAGAAGCACAACAAGCTGAGGGCCAGAAGCACAACAAGTTTAGGGCCAGAAACACAACCAGCTTTGGGCCGGAAGCACAACTAGCTTAGGGCCAGAAGCACAACAAGCTTAGGGCCAGAAGCACAACCAGCTTAGGGCCAGAAGCACAACCAGCTTAGGGCCAGAAGCACAACAAGCTTAGGGCCAGAAGCACAACCAGCTTAGGGCCAGAAGCCCAACCAGCTTAGGGCCAGAAGCACAACAAGCTTAGGGCCAGAAGCACAACAAGCTTAGGGCCAGAAGCACAACAAGCTTAGGGCCAGAAGCATAACCAGCTTAGGGCCAGAAGCACAACCAACTTAGGGCCGGAAAGTTCAAAGTTGATTAACTAAACATTGGGTCGGGGGAGGCCATTCCCCCCATCGGTTTCCCCCGCAAGTTTCCGAGCAGCAAACACTCATCATTTTTCCTCACTGGCACCCGCCCATTCCAGGCTTGGTAGAACGGG